TACAACATGAAGAAAAAAAAAATAGTGAAAAGAATTCAATAAATCCTACAAATTTCAATTTCTACTCAAGGAAAAAAAAAAAAAGTTACACTGAGGATGTATCAACAAGAACTTCAGTTAACACATCATCCTCACCGTTTGCTAAGGCAAGTAGCTCTGCATCCTTATCTTCATCACAGGAAAAATCCCGCCTCTCAAGTTTGGAATGAGCTGCAATGAATATCAACTTCTGTGCCTTGTCCATGCCCACCCTTGAGTGCCCATGGGCAGACACCCATCTCAATAAAGACCAATTGCATTTGAACCCACATGAAGTTGCATGTAGGAAGATGAGCCTAACTGCAACTTTCCCTAGTGACTTAAATTCAGTGAGGTATGTCTCCCACACAAGCCGACTGCTCTGTGGGTTAGCAATTCTCATCTTGCCTGTAATGGGATCCCTTTCCTTCATCTGTACAGCACGTGCATATACCGGATCAAGCCCTTCTGTTCTCCATTTCATGAGTTCCATTAGTGCAATATGGGCCTCCTCCCTCGTCACAAGCCGGGTTATGAGCTTGTCCACATCCTTCTCCTGCTCTGGTGTCAACAATTTGAAAGGTGGAAGATACTTCCCACTATTATCCCTAATCAAATAAAGTGGATCAAGTATAAATGCAGCAGCCCAAGCTGGATGGTAATTCTTCTTGAACCGCCTCTCAATCACCTTCTCCACCGGTTCTTCAGCAATGTGGAAATTGGAACACCAATCCTTCACTTTTGCTCTTAGCTCATCCCAAAGTGGGAGGCATTTCCCAACCAGTGGCCTCTCTGTTTCAATTTCTTGAGCCATATCCTTGATCAACTTAACCAAGGAATGCACTGCCTCCAATTCATTCCAAAACCCCACATCCCCAATCATCTCAGCAACTTCTCTAGCTGTTGGGTCCTCCATGGACGCCACTTTATAAGATTCATCCAGCAGGACCAACTGAAGTGCTCTGGCTGAGCTCAGAATATCCTCAAGCATTACATGCACTGATCCAAAGTTGACCATTTCAAACTCACGCAAGGGCACTCTTAATAACCCAGCATGACCATATTCTTGGGACTGATACTTATGAAAGCTACTCCTAACCTGAGACTTGTTATTCACGAAATTTGCAAGCTTGAAACAATTTTCAGTCACAGCCTTAAACAATGGAAGTTCCTTACTGAAATCCTTAATCAAACTATTGAACCCCTGAAACTGACAAGAAAGATTAACCATCCAGTGATTCTGAGTCTCTAAATTCCTCAATGCCTTGGACTTAAACTTGTCTGCTACTATTCCTACACACTGCTGCACAACATTCCCACAAATGCTTGTCACTGTGTCCCACAAAACCTCCTCAGCATACGTAGAAGGCACAGAGCCACCCACAAACACAGCTCTCCTGTACAAACTAGTCCCATTGGGAAGATTCACAGTCAAATTCACAAGACCATCCTCCCCAAACGCACCAAAGCTCTTGTTCTTCCACCCATCAGAGGCAACCTGAAAGAACATGGCGTCTCTAATTCTGGCCTCTGACTCGGCCTTAGCTTCCTCAAACTTAGCATCGAGTCTTGACCCAGTGAACTCCCTCCGAGAAATCGCCGGTAAACCCACCTGGTTGAGAAAAGCTCTGAACTTCGGGTGCTCAAGGCTCGAAAACGAGACCGACCCACAAGACTCAAACACCCAATCAGCCAAAAAATCAAGCGCAAATTCCACCTGGGTCTTACTCAGCGTAGGCCCAGGTGAAGTTTTGGGACTCTTGAGCTTCTTCACACTGTCCTCCAGCATCGCCAGAGCTCCCAAGTCGTCTTTCCCACCGGATAACACCAAATGCGGCTGATGGGTCACAGCCGTTACCGCCGTATGAGCCGTCGCCGTCGTCGGAGAATAAGTGAGCTCGCCGCAGAACCGGGTCGGGTCCACTATCGCAAGCGGCGGAACATGGTACGACGACGTCGAGGCCGAAACCGAAACGGAAACCGAAGACGAGCTTCGCTTCCGATGGTTATGGTGGACCGGAGTGGGAGAGGGGGGCAAGTTGATCGTGGAAGAAGGCGAGAGAGACGAAATGGGTTTGGCGACGGAGTTGAAATTGGGGCAAGTCCCGCGCTTTAAATGCTCGGAGGCGGTGCGCGACGGGTTCGAGGCGGAGAAAACGGCGTCGCATAGGGAGCACCGGAGCTTCACCGCCTTGGGCAACCCAGTATCGGTGTTGTGGACCAGCATAGGCTCCAAGTGAGCCCAGTACCAAGCCCCTTTGCCCTTTATCGCCTTCGTCCGGACCATCACAAGCCCTTCGTACCTCTTGTGCACGGCTTTGGCCGCCGCCTCGTCAGCCGACGCTGACGTGTCCACCCCCAGAACTCCCACTGCCTGCGTGGTGGTGTTGGTAGCCGCCATTACCGAGGACCCAAGTGAGAAACAAAAAAAAACAAAAAACAAAAAAACAAAAAAAAAAAGCAGGACAGAGTTGTAGGCACGCTAGCGAAATTTCAAGACTTTGAGGTCGTTGAATTGCAAAATCATGCAATTGGTCAGCCTCTTGTGACCATCGTCGTTGAAAGGAACACGACGGCGTTTTTGGGGTGGTGGCATTTGGCCGGAGGAGGAGAAAGCAGCGGGGTTGGGCGGGTCTCCATTACCCGACCCGGCGATCTGGATATCTCAGACTCAGACTGAGATGGGTTTGGTTTGGTTCACTTAAGCTGTATATTTCTTTCTTTTTTTCCTTTTTTTTTTGGTTTGAAATTTTCTTGTTTGAGAGGCTCTGTCTCTCAGAGAAAAGAGAAATAGGGACAAAACCCAAGTGAAAGAGATGTTATGTAAGGTGCTCAGTGGAGGGCACGTGACGTCACGCGCCACCACGGTGAGCGTGGGGAAACACTGGTGCGTTTCGTTGATGGAATTGGAAACTACGACCGTGCGGTCACCGTGAGGTAATATTAATAATGCCAACACTCACAGTCTCACACGGACAGAAACAGTACCTGACATTGATCATCACCCCCTCCTCATTGGAGCGTGATCCGCACGTGCCATGCAGGGTTTTGGGGTTTTTGTTTTCATAAATTTATTTATTTATTTATTTTATTTTATTTTTTTGCTCTCTTTACTTTTCTTTTCTGTGTGTTGTTGGGTCTTGTTTGTGGGTCCTTGTGGGGAAGGGCTTTCTTTGTCTGTTTCTTTCTTTTTCTTTTCTTTCCGCAGATTACATAATTTTATTATTTTTATTTTTTCTCTTGCTCAATTTGAAATTTTATTGAATTTTTTAAATATTTTTAAATGGGAAAAATGGGGACCATTTCTGATTTTTTTTTCCCCACAAGTTAATTTAGGTTTCCTATTGTGACTTGTTGTTCATGTGGTTTTTATTCAGGATGGAGACATAAAAGGGCAACCTAGGAATTCAATGAATTCCAACCAGTTCCTTCTGGGCCAGTGTTGACCAAGACAAGGAAGGAGAATTTGCCTTGAAAAAGGTCACCAAATGCCCCTCTCTCTCTCTCTCTCTCCTCTCTCTCTCTCTCTTCTGATTATTTAATGATGTCATAGATATTATAGCATTGTTTTATTTACCACAATAATTATATTATATTATTATATGTTGTAATGCATCCAGTACAGTCTCTTCTTTTTATATCTGTTTACTGTTTTCATTTTTTAGTGTGTAATTTTAAAAGCCTCAAAGAGTAGAGTAGGTGGGTAGCTGCCATTCATGGCCCAAGTGAGAGGCTGTGTGTACATCTTGACACAATCCCTTTTCATTCATGAACTTGCTTTTTTATATTGGATCCCTGTCGTTAATGTTTTCTCACTCACAACCTGTCATATATCTATATAGTAATTTCATTTAATAAGGATATGCTTAATCTTCAATTAGCTGTTGATTTAATTATATTTTCCAAAATTTTGTTGCAAAATGTGTCAAGTTCGAATTCTAATTTTGCAGATTAAACAAAAAAAGAATACGACGGTCACGTTCAAATCTTCTATTTGTTGACCGAAAAATAACGAGTAATAACTCTGCGTAGAGATATAATAATATCAGTGTACAGAAATTTGGGGAGTTAGATACAACTCTCACCCTCTCTGATTTTTGAATTCGGTTTTAGGGCATTGTCCTGGGAACCAAATTGAGCATGAGTTGATTGGGAAATTAAATAGAGTTTCTTTTAGCCACCAAAGGGTCCATGAGCTAATTAAGTATTAATCAAGATTCACAACTGATGTTGTCAATAAAATTGACCCAGTAGTCAATTCCAATGGGTCAATAGCCACATGCCCAACTGTCATCCACATTCTGATGACCCAACCCATAAAATGGATTTGAAGTTTTTGCCTTCAATTACATACAAAGGATTTGATGTCTTTAACCCAAATTAGTTGGTCGTGTTGTCTTGTTCACATTTAAATTTTAAGTACCACTTATAAAGAGAGGCATTGATGTAGCCTTAATTAAGGTTTTTGGTTTTTTTTTTTTTTCAATCACATATAAAGGATTTGATGTCTTTACCCCAAATTAGCTGGTCCTGTTGTCTTGTTCACATTTAAATTCTATTTAAATTCTAAGTATCACTTATAAATAGACGCATTGATGTAGCCCTAATTAAGAGTTTGGTTTTTGGTATTTTTTAAATATAAGCGATAGTCTAAATTAGAGGGGAGATGAATTTCTCTCGCACACACAAATGATGCCGTGATTTAGTATTAAAAAAGATGATTTGTAGATCCTCTTGTTTTGGCTCAACATATACGGCAAAAGGAATGCCAACAACATTGCAATTTTGGCAAGAAATAAATCCCTCGTAGGCTTTGTCATTTTCAAAACTTGATATTTCTCAAGAATGGCAAGGATGTTTCTAGTTTTAAAATGCAGAGGTCTTTGTCCACTTGGCTATTTCAGGGTCTCCTTTTGGACTTTGGATTTGACAAATCTCAGATTGAACACATGTTTATAATAAACCTTGTGGATATAGATAATGTCAAATCTCAGATTCAGAGTTTCATTAGTAAACATGTTTTGGCTTCTCTTCCTCTTCTCCAAGCTCCCAGTAGCTTCTTACCTTTATACTTTTTTTTATTGAAGAAAAAAATGTAGGTTATGATGAAAGATTGGGTCTACCACCACCAGATGGTGAATGGTTAATTTGCTCAAAAGTTTACGCTATCATGAAAATTTGAAATGATGGATTTATTTATTCAACATTTGGTACAAAAACGACTTTCACTAGTAAATTATTCAACATTTTGGTACAAAAACGAATTTCAAATGATGCTCAATCTGTTATCTCGTGCTCTGACGCGGTTTATGTTAATCGAAATCATCCTTGATTGATCCTGTTATGGATAATATTGAATCTCATTTGTTTTTAAGCAAGTATTAATGACGTATCTATGTATAATTAATTTGGTGAGTCGAGAATAGTATTATTATTGGTATAAAATTATTGTGATTCAAAATTTGATTTGTTAATATTATAATCGAAACACATTACGTGACGTGAAATTATCGCACACAAAATGAGACTTATAAAATATGTACCGGATCATACATACACTTTTGTAAGAAACCATACACTTTGACCAAAACATGGATTAAACACATACACATTGATTTGCACCATCTATTAAAAGATGGATAGATGCATGGTTGCTGAAGTGTTGTAGTCTCCGAACTCATTCATTGGCCATTATTAACTTTAAATTGGTGCAATCTTCTTTTGTTTTCTTGTATTTTACATTAGTGCAATGATCTAACTCTCATAAACTTTGATTATTTTTCTTTTTTATTATGCTAGCTAGACCAAAAATGATATATTAAAATAAAATGAGGATGTTGAAACTAGGTCAATTGACATGCTACCATTTTAAAAGTCTAACAACATCCCTGAGTTTGTGTTTGCTTAGGAACCCAAATCCATGACGAAAGTGAGGAGAGATGCTTGGATACAACCGGAGATGTATCCCCATGGCATGCTGGTAATGATTAGGTGAGGGATCAAAGCCATGTGTAAATGGCAAGGATTAAGAAGCTGACATTCCCCTAATGATTCTTCCATAAAAGAAAAGCTATGGAATCTAGGAAATGATGAGAAAGCTCATTTTGCAAATTCACCTGCTCTTCAAAAGTAGGGGGAAAAGAAAGAAGAGAAAAAGCTGGCGGCCAGATGAAGCACATGATTGATTGCAGGGGCCACTGTAATGCGTTTAGGTGTAAGTTGTAGTGCTTTACTTCAACTCTGAGAATTAAGATTTTGTCTGCTACAGATGAGATGATTACCTGATGGTTTAATTGGCTATGGACCCTTGATTAGCGTCTGATTATTATAGTGGAAATGCAATTTCTATTTTATTTTTGGAGGAAAGAAGGAGAAAAAACAAAGAAGAGGAACGAAGGAAAGAGAAGAATTTATTCGAAATTGTAACAGGGAAGACTGGGCCGCATGGCATGAGCCGAGAATGGCGGGTTAACTTTCAAAAAAATTTATACTTGGCGCCCACCGTGGGGCTCGAACCCACGACCACAAGGTTAAGAGCCTTGCGCTCTACCAACTGAGCTAGACGGGCAACGTTTGATTAGACACCGCCTTATTATTATTAATAGGAGTCCCACATCGGGAAAGCATAATAGTAATTTACACCTTAAATATAGGGGTTTCATTAATAATAGCACCAAGGCCTTTGGGATAAAACCCCACACCTATAATAACCAAAAAATGATATATTGGATTTAGGTGGCTAAGTTGGGGACAATATCGGTGCTAGTGGGTGGGCCTATGCGGGGTTTGGTACTAGCATTGCATAGGACCGGTGGGGTAATCCTACGAGTGTTCGATACCAACACGCATTAGTGTGGGTGGTGGGCCTATGCATTGGTTTTGGTGTGTATCAACACGCATAAAATGAAGGTCAACTACTAATAGTACCGAGGCCTTTTGTAAATTTTTTATTCGTATCCTCATCTCTTTGTATTAAATTACTTTGTATAAAATTACGTATTAAATTACTTTTTCAAATTTGGTTAAACAAAATTGAATTATTTACTACAACGTTGAATTTATCTAGAGACCCCAAAGACAAGAAAACAGTTGTGATTGCTTCCAAAGTCCAGCATCTTCCACAATTTAAAAAATCAATATAAATGCGGTGTCTTCAGTCCATATACAGTTGCATAAGCTAAGTTAGAACTCGAAACTAGCTCTGAAGAAATGCTATAACAAGTTTTAAAACCTTTTCAGTAGTTTTTTTGAATTGGGTATTGCACATGGACTTGAGGCTTCAAATGCCATAAGCCCACATGGCCCATTTGACTTTAACAAATCGATCACCAGGAGCATACAATTTCATAAACTGAAAGAGAATGGCAAGTTGAGATGTGTACATTTCATATTTTGATTTCATACTCCGGCTAAAGAAACACCGGCAATTAAATTTCGGGATCACAAACACTGCACGAGTTCATAATATTATAATTTGAACATACTGCCAAAAACACAAGTCTGGACTCTGAACCTTACAATCTAACTGATTTTGAAATCCATCCCCACCCCTTCTCTCTCTGAAGCTACCCAAAATCACAACTCTGAAAAACCCAAAGTTAATCTGCCCCTGAGCCACTAAAAGCTTCTACTTTACCACCCTAGCATGGTGATGTCAACTTGAAAATCAGATGTTTCGTAGAGTTGTCACCAGTGAGAACAATACCGAAAGGGCATTTCTGCAGGCAAGGTTACGCAGTCTCCATGCTAATCAGATTTAAGATCTACAGTAGAATTATTATATGAACCACTGTTTTGGACACCAAAACTTTCCTCTTTCAACTGATATGGATCACCGAGATTGGTTAGACGGGAGAAACAAATGCAAAATCCAAGATAAAAAGACCTGTCATGCCAATTCAATTTTATAACTGACAGATAATGCATGGTTGGGGTCAGAGGCGGTTGCCTAAGGCCGTAAGCAAAATATGGGGAAAGTGTGAAAGTAGTCCTGGAAGCAACCAATTGATAATCTCAGGAGAAAAGGTTTTGCAGGTTTACCTTCGTAAGGATCTTCTTCTGATACCTGTATCCCTATTGGAATTGATCAAGAGTGAATGATTGCCAAATCAATCAGCTAAGATCATTAGAAAAGCATACCATGTCAGTTCCATAAATGTAATCACAGCAGGTGAAAACTGAAGCAAAATTGCTATGGCTTTGTCCTCCAATATAGTGTTGGTAATCGTGGTACTTAGCACCGCCAGGGGAAGTCATCACTGTATAATAAACCATAGATTACAACTTGATCCACATCAAATACAGTGGTCAAACTTCAGTGCACAAGATACAAAACAAGCGTACAACGAGCAGATATTGAAAAGACACCATATGGTTCTTGAGGTTCTTGAGCTTCCTAAAAAGATATAAAAATAAACAGTATGGAATAAGTCATCGCAGACTCATACATGCAATCCAAGCAACTACCCTGAATTCATAGATTGTAGCAGTCTAACTAGCACATACAAGTTCTAAGGCTTCCTCCTCAGCCAACCCACTAGGGGACTAATGTAATACCCTATGTGACTGAACTAGCTCTTTATCCACAAACATTCCACCTATAAGGTGGCAGAAGCCTCACTAACGTAATTCTCTAGCCTTAACCAACAGTATGCAGTTAATCTCATGGGTCTTTCACCATAGCAGTTGCCAAAAAATAACTTTTCATTTTTTGTTTTAGATCAGTAATCACCTCCTGTATTTGGAGCAACTTTCAACATTACAGGCAACCCACCACATGCAGCTGTGATCAGATACAAGTAAGACAATCACTTCTGGCAAAGGATTTTTTTTTTGTATCAGCCCTTTCCCACATCTCTCTCTGAAGTGCTACCATAGTGGCATGAGGAAAGTATACATATCTGAATTATTATGTTAACAATAAGGCTTAAACACACCGATCAAAAATAACATTCAACGCACAAAAAGCTGACTCAGAAACCAAAATTCATGTACTACCTCTTACAGATAAACCAAACGCATGTAGTGCTTGTATAAAAGCTTGACGATCAGCATTTAAGCATGAAAGTTGATTTGATAAAACTCATGCAACCTCCGTTTGAAGAATGTTTTATAACTATCATGGTGCTGAATAAGACATTATTGACCAACATTCAACCTATTTGCTTTTCCCCCCATAAATTTTATTTGTCGATGTGCAAATGATTACTTTTGCCAGATCATTCAAAGAAAAAGGCATTATTGTACTGATCCTAGACCCCTCATTGAAGTGAAGGAACTGTTTAAGATCCTTCAAATTAAAAGTACTTTTAGCATAGAATTCTATTAGTAAGGAGAGACAGGAATTCCAAAGTTGTCATTATTCAGTCACAATCAGCTAACGAAGAAAATGACCGCAAGCACCAAAAAACAAAAAGCAAAATGCAGCATGTGTACCCGCTGCGTGTTTTCAATGGCCCCAATCTGCTCCACAACCAGAATGTGACCATGTGGCCAGGAGCATATGGTGTTGCAAACCCAAATGGAGCAGTGTACTTATGGTGAACTCTGTGGATTTTCTCATACCCCAATTTGCTATGCAAAAATCTGTGAATGCAGTAGTTGGTATAATCTTCTACCAAGAAATAAACTAACAATTGGAAAAGCTTCTCCCATCCAGAAGGCAATGGCGATCCCGTTCGAATCCCTATTATCTGCTTGTAAACAGAATCTAAGCATATTCAAAAATATGCCCAAAGAGAAATTATTACAGGAAATAGAGGAGAGAAAATTACAAACTTTAATCACCCCGTAATTGATGCAGGTATGCTAAGAATAAAATACATAAATAAATGCCCAAAAAAAGTATTCTGAGGCACAATAATCTCAAAAATGAGGAAATCCCCCCTCCTCCACAAACCCCCCCACCCCAACAAAAAATCCTATTACACAAAACCTATAAGAGATACTAAAATAAAAGGAACCAACCCAATATTTTACAAAACCCCGCATACCCAATTCCACATATTCAACATTCTTCAAAACCACGCAATCCGAATTCCACAAATTCAATCATTTTCAAAACCCAGCAACAATTCCACAAATTCAATCATTTTCAAAACCATGCAAACCCAATTCACAAATTCAATAATTTTCAGTATCCCGCAAACCCAATTCCACAAAGTCGCAGATTGGAATTCAATGAACCCGAAAGACGAAATCCGAACCTGTATAGAAGGGTAAGAGACGAGCTGAAAATGGCCAACAACGAGAAGGAACATGCGCATAACATCCTTGTAGAACTTGAGCATTTCATAGAAGGGCAATCAGACTTTGGGCTGGATCTTGTAGCTGTCGAGGCCGGCCCATCTGAGAACCTCTGCGAAAACGAGGGGGAGAGGGACGACGGAGAAGATGACGAAGAGGAAGAGAATGTTGTCGGCCAGATAAAGCACATGATTGCAGGGGCCACTATATGTATGTAGGTGTAAGTTCGACTGTTCGAGTGGTTTACTTCAACTCTGAGAATGAGAATCACTAAGGAAGAAAGAAAAATAAAACTGACGAAGAAGAAGAAAGAAATTTTTTGAAGAAAAAGATAGAAAACATGAACCAAAAAGAAGAAAAAAAATTCGAAGTTGTAAGAGGGAAGGATCATGGGTCGACAAAGATTTTCAAAAATTAGTCTCGTCTACAACCGCGGGTATCGAACAAACGACCGCGATGTTAAGAGCTTCGCGTGGAAGCAACTGAGATACACGAGCTTTTGTCGATTAATTTGGAATGATATTAACTCCTATTTATTCATTATCTATGTTACGCCAGATGTTCTATGGATACAAGCTTTTTAATGCCCAACGCATTATTAATTTTTATAGAGTCCCACATCGGGAAAGTATAATAGTAATTTACACCTTAAATATGGGTTTGTTATTGATAATAGCACCAAGGCCTTTGGGATTAAACCACACGCCTATAATAATCAAAAAATATATATTGAATTTAGGTGGCTAAGTTGGGGACAATATCGGTGCTAGTGGTGGGCCTATACATAGTGTCGGTGGGGTAATCCTACGAGTGTTTGATACTAACACGCATTAGTGTGTGTGGTGGGCCTATGCATTGGTTCGGTGTACCAACACGCATAAAATGAAGGCCTTTACTACTAAGAGCAACTCTAGCGCTGCTATCAAACTGGGCAAAAGGCCCCCTGGCAAGCCCAATGCAGCTTCAGCGCACCACTTGCAGCCCGGGCAAGCCCAAGGGTAGATTTTGCCTGGGCTTCAGCCCGAGGGTGCTGACGTCAGCGCTGATGTTATGCTGATGTCAGCGAGCAAAAAAAAAAAAATCAAAAAAATTATAAAAAATTCAATTTTTTTAATAAAAAAAAACCAAAAAATTATGGATGTTTTCCCTATAAATACATAACAATTTTATTCACTTTCCCTATAAATACATAACAATTTTATATTTTGTTGCATATATATATATTTTTTTTTTTTATTGCCCTTGACTTGCCTTAGATTTTGCCCTCATGGGTGGAACCACAAATGCAAAGGCTGACACTATTCACGTCAATAGTTGCAGCTCTTGCTTGCCCTTGCCTTAGACTTAGCCCTTGTGGGTGGAAGTGCTCTAATAACACCGAGCCATTTTGTAAATGTTTTAGGGAGCTTCACTAATATATCTAAAATAGGGGCTGAAATTATAAAAAAAACCACACATGGAATGCACTTTAGGAACACACCCAAAACTCATTTACTACATTAGAAATTAGTGTTTAAGTTCTTATAAATTACATGACTGCCATTGATTAACTTAAAAAAGAAGACCAACACAAAAAACTTAAATAACACCCAAAACAAGCCTATCCCAATTTTATAAAAAAAAGCCCAAACAATTCATTACAAACAAAAGGTCTTGAAAACCATAGTTTCATTAACGTGTCATGTGAATTAATGATTGTAATGTTTTACACCTTTATTGTCATGTTGATTAATTGTTGTAATGTTCCAGTTTAGGGTAATAACACTGCTCTGTCATGTTGATTAATGGTTGTAATGTTCCAGTGTATGGTAATAACACTGTTAGTTTCCTATAACATCATATTTCTAATGCATGTTTACCCCTGTAATGTTCCAATGTAGGGTAATAACACTGCTAGTTTCCTATGATATCCTATTTCTAATGCATGTCTACCCATGTAATGTTCCAGTCTAGGATAATAACATTGCTAGTTTATTGTCATGCTGATTAATATATGTAATGTTCCAATCTAGGGTAATAACACTGCTAGTTTATTGTCATATTGATTAATGGTTGTAATGTTCCAGTTTAGGGTAATAACAATATTAGTTTCATATCACATCCTATTTATAATACATGTCTACTATTGTAATGTTCTAGTGTAGGGTAATAACATTGTTAGTTTCCTATGACATTCTATTTCTAATGCATATCTACCCCTGTAATGTTCTAGTCTAGGGTAATAACACTGCTATTTCCTATGACATCCTATTTCTAATGCATGTTTACCTATGTAATGTTCCAGTCTAGAGTAATAACACTGCTAGTTTACTGTTATGTTGATTAATGCTTGTTATGTTGCTATTTCTAATACATGTCCACCAAAGAAAAGATGAAGAAAGAACAAACCAGACCAACTCAAAACAAGTTGAGTCCAGATTGTTAATACTATTATGTCATAGAAGTATATAGTTAATACTCTGTCATAGAAGTACATTGTTAATACCCTGTCACATAAGTATATTGTTAAACAAAAATGAGATTCATAACTGAAATAATAACAAAAGTTGAATCGATCATCAAATCTTAAAATACATTTCGAAAATCAACCAAAATCAGAAGAAAAACACATAATTGAAGCAAAAGATAAAAAATCTCAAGTCCAAACCAAACGACGACGACGACGATGACGATAACAACAACGATGATGTGGCGAAAGAGGAGTAGAGCTCCAAGATGAGAAGTAGAGCTAAGAGCATCTTATTGAGGTTTGTTCAAGGTCTTAAACAATCTGAAAAAAGAAAAAATCAATAGAAGCATGATTTTAGAATAAGAAATCGAAGGTGAAATATTGAAAATTGAAAATTAAAGATGAATAATATAGTTGGACATGAGATTGAGATTTAATGGAAGCTTCTCTTGCTCCAACACCAGAGAAAACACCAGCGAGAAAGGAAAAAATAAATTTGATTTGGTTTTTTGGCAGATCTGGGCATATTTAGTTTTATGGCAGATCTGGACAGATCTGATTTTCCTCTCTTAAATATATAGTACAAGGACAATATTGGTATTTAACACACAAATGAACTAAAAAACAACTATTAAATTAAAAAATTGACATTGAGTTTTTTTTGGGTGTATTTATAATTTTTTAATAATGTAGAGTTTCTTTATAAAACTATGCCTAAAATTGGGTATATAACTAAATTTCTAAATTTTTTATTCACATATCCACGTCTTTTCGTATAAGATTACATTTCTTTTTCAAATCTGGCCAAACAAAATGGGATTATTTACTACAACGTTGAATTTATCTAGAGACCCCAAAGACAAAAGGCAACAGTTGTGATTGCTTATGATACTCTTCCAAAGTCCAGCATCTTCCACAATTTATGTTTATTCAAGCCTCTGAAGGCAATTGGATCACATAACTACGGGGCCTTTTCACCGTAGCCATCTTTCTCGCTTTCAGAAAACAGTTTAACCAAAAGGCGATGAAAACATTATAAGCTGGAGAACTTTATGCGTTAGAACACCAAAAAATAATCTAAATACAGTGTCTTCAGTCCATACACAGTTGCATGAAAGTTGGATGAGCAATGCTATAACATGTTTAACAACCCTTTCAATAGTGTTTTTTTTATTTTATAAATTGGATATGGCGCATGGACTTGAGGCTTCAAATGCCATTTGGCATTAACAAAATCGATCACCAGGAGCATAAAAGTTCATAAACTGAAGAGAATGGAAATTTGAGATGTGCGGAATTCATATTTTGATTTCAAACTCCTGCTAAAGAAACACTGGCAATTAAATTTCAGGATCACAAACACTGCACGAGTTCATAATATTATAATTTGAACATACTGCCAAAAACACAAGTCTGAACTCTGAACCTTACAATCTAAAGTGATTTTGAAATCTGCTCCTGAGCCACTAAAAGCTTCTACTTTCCACCCTAGCATAGTGATGTCAACTTGAAAATCAGAGGTTTTGTAGAGTTGTCACTAGCGAGAACAATACTGAAAGGGCATTTCTGCAGGCAAGGTTACGCAGTCTCCGTGCTAATCAGATTTAAGATCTACAGTAGAATTATTATATGAGCCTCCGTTTTGGACAGCATTACTTTCCTCTTTCAACTGAAATAGATCACCGAGAGTGATTAGAAGAAAGGGACAAACAAATGTAAAATCCATGACAAAAAGACTTAGTGCATCAACGCATGAAACTAGTCCTAGAAGCAACTAACCAGTTACCAATTTCTGCCTAGAGGTAAAAGAAATTCACTAACTAAATCACCTGTACTATTATTAGAGAAAAAAAATATCAACTGGTTGCATTGATTAAATACATGTTGAGCTATATCAATCAGAGTCTTGATTTCCCATATGTTCAAGAACTAAAATGTCAATCATGCTCAACCGAGATGCCACAATACTTAATTGATAATCTCAGGAGAAAAGGTTCTGCAGGTTTACCTTCTTAAGGATCTTCTTCTGATACCGAAATCCCTGTTGGAATTGATCAAGAGTTAATGATTGCCAAATAAATCAGTTAAGATCATTTGAGAAGCAAACGCCACATCAAGATAGTATTTTACCTTGTCAGTTCCATAAATGAAATCACAGTAGGTGAACACTGAAGCAAAATTGCTCTGGCTTTGTCCTCCAACATAGTGATGGTAATCATGGTACTCAGCACCGCCATAAAATGGGATATATTTTGTGGGAGTCCAGGGGAAGTCATAACTGTATAATAAACCATAGATTACAACTTGCTCCGCATCAAATACAGTAGTCAAAACTTCAGTGCAGAAGATACAAAACAAGGATACAGTGCAGATAATGAGAAGACACCATATGGTTCTTGAGCTCCCTAAAAAAAATTTAAAATAAACTATATGGAAGAAGTCATCGCAGACTCATACATGCAATCCAGAGCAGTTAGTCCTTCCAAAAAATTACTTTTCATTTTTTGTTTTAGATCTGTAATCACTTCCTATAATCAGAGTAACTTTCAATATTACAGGCAACCCACCACATGCAGCTGTGATCAGATATAAGTAAGACGATTACTTCTGGCAAGGGGCTTTTTTGGGTATCAGCCCTTTCCCCCAAAAATTTTATTTGTCAATGTGCAAATGATTACTTTTGCCAGATCATTAGGAGAAAAGGGCATTAGTGTACTGATCCTAGCCCATCATTAAAAGTGAAGCAACTGTTTAAGATCCTTCAAATCAAAAGTACTTAGCATAGAATTCTATTAGTAAAGAGAGAGGATAGGAAGGAATTCCAAAGTTGTCATTATTAAGTCACAATCAACTAAAGAAGAAAATGACCGCAAGCACCGAAAAACTAAAAGCAAAATGCAGCATGCGTACCCGCTGTGTGTTTCAATGGCCTCAACCTGCCGCAGTGCTATCCACGACCAGAATGTGACCATGTGCCCAGGAACCATTGCTGGACCGAGAAAAGATGGGATACCAAGGATCAAAATCTCAGCCCAATGAGCATATGGCGCTGCAAACCCAATTGGAGCAGTGTACTCATGGTGAACTCGGTGGATTTTCTCATACCCCCATTTGTTATGCAAAAATCTGTGAATCCAGTAGTTGGTATAATCTTCTACCAAGAAATAAACTAACAATTGGCAAAGCATCTCCCATCCAGAAGGCAATGGCAATCCCGTTCGAATCCCTATTATCTGCTTGTAAACAGAATCTAAGCGTATTAAAAAATACACCCAAAGATACATTATTACAGGAAATAGAGGAGAGAAAATTACGAACTTTAATCACCCTGTACAGGCACAATAATCTCATTAAGAAAACTGAAAAGCTTCGTAAGAGTAACCCTTACGTTTACATGAAATGTGGACATTTTTTCTCAAAATTCACATGCCTTACGTTTTACGCAGAATGCAAAGCCCCCCCACCACACAAATCCCATTACACAAAACCGATAAGAGATACTAAAATAAAAGGAACTAACCCAATATTTTACAAAACCCCGCAAACCCAATTTCGCATATTCAAAATTCTTCAAAACCACGCAATCCTAGTTCCACAAATTCAATATTCTAGGAAACCCCGAAAACCCAATTCCAAACATCCACTACTTTTGATAACCCAGCAGACCCAATTCCACATATTCAATCATTTTCAAAACCCAGCACACCCAATTCCACAAATCAATTATTTTCAAAACCCAGCAAACCCAATTCCACAAATTCAATCATTTTCAAAACCCAGCAAACCCAATTCGCAAATTCAATATTTTTCAGAATTCCGCAAAACCCAATTCCACAAAATCGGATATTGGAATTCGATGAACCCGAAAGAAGAAATTCGAACCTGGACAGAAGGGTAAGAGACGAGCTGAAGAGGGCCAACAACGAGAATGAACATGCGCATGACATCCTTGTAGCACTTGAGCATGTCAGAGAAGGGCAATCGGACTTTGGGCTGGATCTTGTAGCGGTCGAGGCCGGCCCATCTGAGAACCTCGGCGAAAACGAGAGGGAGAGGAACGACGGAGAAGATGACGAAGAGGAAGAGAATGTTGTGGAGGTAGAGCACGTAATCGGACTTGGAAGCCGAGTAGTTGAACCACAGAGTCTCGGCAAAGGTGAGGTTTCGGCCCAGAGCCGAAGCGGCCTCCTCGAGAGTCTGGTAAGGCAGCATTGGACGGTGCCGATGGTTCTCCGACGAGTATGATCAACGCCGGCGATTGGCGATTGGCGATGAGCTTGAAGGTGGAAGAGAGAGAGAGAGAGAGGAGGGGGGAGATTAGGTACACTTAGCTGCAGGGGTGTGGGCTGGAGGAGGTTTTGTTGGTTAAAATATGCGGGAATTTTAAACAACCTTTTAGAGAATCGCGCAGTGGGCAGCACACAATTATACTGACAGGGATGATAATTTTCCCAACTAGTAAAACTATTTTATTTTTTACTTTATTTACTCATCAGTGGTTTCATTTCTATAAATATGATTGCCAAATATTGAGATCTATGTTAATTAGCAAAAATTACGTGTGCAAAATTGACACGAAATCAAAACGGAATTGAGATAAAGATGCCGTGTTTTTCTCATGTTCGTGTATAAATATAGAAAGTAAATTTAGGTTTTAGCCAAAAAAAAAGTTTTCGCTTTTGAAAAAAGTCAAAGTTTTTTTAAAAAAGACAGAAAAACCTCTCAACTTTCAAATCAATGACATGCAGATGTAAAGGATTCCTTAGAAAATCCAAAAATAAATAAGGGCAATTTTGTCCATTTTGGCTTCTTTTAAAAAATTTCTCTCTCCTTTGTTTTTTTTTTACAAAGTCTCCCAATTGCCGAGCTGACATTTGACCCGAAATTTATATAAAGCACAATTAACACAAATTGACACGTTGTCATGTAAAGTTATGTTTCTTCATATAATGTGTATTGGACTTTGTGAGTAGTGTAGTTAGAGATAATATCAATATTGCTGGTTATGAACCGTTAATTCATTTCTCTAAAATTTAACAATACACACACTATATGTTATATTATTAAACCGTAAATTATTAGCATTTTGATGGATTAAATGTGAAGGATGGTTAATATAAAGTTTTGAAATATTTGAATATCAATGGTGGGGCATGCTATAAAATATTTACTGCAAAAAGAGGATCTGTGGACCAACATGAGCCTGAGGAAGCTCATGTTAACATGTAGCACTTGAAATGATATAAAAAGTCAAATGCGGGTGGCTGGAGATTTCTGCAGCTCCGTGGCTTCAAAAAGAATGTCGTATCTTGGTTGCGCCACGTCAACAGTGGAAGCACGTGACATGCATGCATGCAAGCTAACTTTGAGACTTTTGAGTTGGAAAAAAAAAAAAAAATCATTTAGGTTGCTTCTAGTTGTGCACTAAGGAACAAGGGGGAGGTCGTAACCAACGAAGCAAGATCCTGTTCTTATTGAAACAAACAAACTTCAAATTTCTTATTCTATTTCCAATGTTTTATATATGCATATTTTCTGCATCTCATTGATGGGATGAAATTGGTTAAAAATTAGCGGTAGGGATTAAATTGGCGATAAAATTTAATATCAAAGTTAAATTGGTCGGAAAAAAAATTTAGGGTGAATATTTCGATAATCGTGATATTCAAGGTGATTTTCGGCAAATAACCCTTGATATTTTGATTTTCTTAATTTCAAGTGGGGCAGATTGTATTTATGGGGAAAGGAATTGCAGGGAAATGTTGGTCGATGGAGCGATGATAAAGACTAGAGAGTATACAAATTCCCTTAAAAATGAGGTAAAAGTGGGAACTATGTATGGTTTTATCTCATCAGCTCATTTAGTTGACTCATTAGATGATAATCATGTAACATTATTCAAAATATAATTATTGAACTAGAGAATGATGAGATGATAACAAATGAAAGGCTTCATTTTTTAACATATGGTTTTATTGACGATATATTCTAGTAAGATAATACGGGCGTCAACGATTTGACAAAAATATTTGTATCTAAAAAAATTATTGATGTGTCGGTATCTCTTTATACATGTTTGATAAAGAATAAAAAAGTGGATAATGAAGATCGAATTTGAGACTTCTTACAAACAAAGTTCTGATAATATTATGAAGAGAGCTTTGTCGAACAGACTATAATGATAGGTTAACACGCAGGCTTTGGATTCAATTAAAGTAATAATTAATAGAAATAGAAATCCAACTTTACTCAGTCAGCATTCGCTGACCACGTTGTAAAACCCATGAATGATTGTATTGAAACATAAAATCGTGAATCAAGGACTTTGAGTCGCATCCCACTCATCTAATCAGATAGCTGATTATGAACTATGCAGATTAATAGTAGCATAACATAACCACTCAGTATTGAAATAAGAAAATAACTTTATGAAAAGAAGAAATATAAGTCGGCTGATGATCATGAGAAAGATAAAAACCCTAGTGCTCAAAAAACATGATTTTACTTTAACCCACCCCCCACTTTCTCACTTTTATTCAGAAGTCATTATTTCCTTTGATGTTGAATTGAAACTTGAAAGTTTGCTTCATAATGGATATATGCAGAAAACGCAGAAAACGAATTGAGGGTTAAAAAAGAAGATGAAGCATGAGAGCATGACTACTTTAGTGTGTGAAAATGATAGTTTATTATGGACACCACCTTTATGCAGCTGCATTCCATCATTCAATTTGTTCTCTCCGAGTTTCAAGTTACATCTCTCTCTCTCTCTCTCTCTCTCTCTCTCTCTCTCTCAAAAATTGAATAATGCTAGTATTCTTCATACCTCAAAAGTTCATATCTTTACAAGAATCTTACCAAGTCTACTTTCTGATTTTTATTCCAATGGTTTACTCATACAGTCATAACTTGTACACATTTAGTGGGAGCATAAATAGTTAATACCCTTTTAAATTATTAATTAGCTGTGAAATGTGAAAATTTTCAATCTCATCTACATGTTGTTTTTGCAACAAAGCTTCTCGTAATGGATTGCATAAGACTGTTCGTTTAGTAAAATTGTGAGTTTTGAATTCTACACCTGAAACCTAATCTGGTTCAACTAGTTTGGTTTGGTTTTATCATTAAGTAGGTTGAATCGGTTGTACTAAGGTTGCGATAAGAATCTCGATCCCTACAAAAAAAAAAAAAACTTCTGTACACTAAAATATCACTGTAGCCGTATCTCAAGTCAATTATACACCAAACACTGACATTCCCGTACCATGGAAGATTATTCTCCAAATCCATGACTCCGCATTATCTTCATCTGTTGAGTGAAATCAATTGAATGGACAAAGGACAAAATTATGTCAAAGTAGGCATCGAGATGGGCCCGAGCTTCACATTGTGGTGTGATCGGCCCCCACCAAAGCACCATTGATCAGTGGTACCATCTCCTCCTGTGTTGAAGTGGTGATGGTGATGTGACGTGTGCAAATGATTTGGTGCGTGGACTATCTTGACTCTAGCATGGGAAAGCCGACCTCTTTTTCTTATGCCTTGTCGTATATAAGATCATGATCTTTCATCAACTTTTGCTAATCCATGCTGATTGATTAGCAAAGCCATGCCATGTGACTGTTAATCTCCATGCTTTCCTCAAAAGGAGTTTTGGTTTTAGAATCAAGTGAGTCATTCTAGTAATTTGCTCCTACGACCATCTAATCTAAATGTTCTTTTCGGGGTTTCCACCATCATGATATTGAGAATCATTGTGGTCATTTTTGACCCAAAACTTGCAAATGCCCCTTCTCCTTCTTGAATTTACTTGTGCGTGAATCATGAGTGACACTCGGTCAAAGTTGGACTTGCATGAGAATCTTTTTCTAGTAGCCTTTCATCCGCTACAACTCAGCTAGCACTTCTGAAAAGAGAATTTCAAAATATTTCTCCAAATATAGATATTAAGATTAGTGCACATATAGATTGATTGAGTTAAAATTCTGGCTTAGTCACTGGGTGCGGTCTAATTAAAAGAAGGCATGCACTTAGATATTAAAATTTTATTATTAAAATTAAATACGTGCTATTTTTTAACTAGATTATATTACCATTAAATACTGTCACGTGACAAAGATATCCCTACGAAAGTTTATCTTTAATATAACGTGTTTGTTCAAATGCTCGAGGAGGTCTCACTTTTACATAAGATTGAATTATGTGGACAACGGTTGGATTGCTGGAACAACTGGGGCTACAACAGCTGAAGGTAATTTTAGTAAAAATTAGCTTTTTAGAGAATGTCAGGATTTATTGAGGAAGGAGGAGACAAGGAAGCAGTGTTCTCGTATACAGTGGCTGTAACATGGAGATCGTTATACCAAATATTTTCATGCAGTGACAAAAAGAAGGGGCATGTCAATAATATTAAGGGGTTGTTTGATGACAATGGACATTGTCAATGGTTAGAGAATCCAAGTCAAATTCAATCGGTGTTGCTGTCATATTTATGAATCTTTTTTGTTCAGAGGAGGGATATGATATTGACGTGGTTTTGGTGGGTATTGAAACTTATCTTGCTATTCTAAATGGGGGAAATGGAGCTGGATGGTCTTAATCATACACTCTGTCTTGCTATTCTAAATGGGGAAATGGAGCTGGATGGTCTTAATCATACACTTATCTCTCTTATTCCAAAGATACCAAACCCACAGTTTGCCAGAAAATATCGTCCAATCTGTTTGTGCAATGTGGTGTATAAGATCATTGCAAAATCCATTGCTAATCGATTGAAGTTAGTCTTGCCATCAATGATCTCCCCTTCTCAAAGTGTTTTTGTTTTTTGGCCTGGGAGATGCATATTTGATAGTAAGAGGGGCTGGGATTTTTTAAGTTGATTTTTAAATTTTTTTTGTTTTGTTAGAACGTTATTTTATTATTTTAAATACATTTTTTTGTTAGTAGGTGGGTCCCACAGTAGACACGTCAGCATTTAACAATTGACTACACAGTTAACTTAACGGAATGATGAAATTGGACGATGTTGCAAATGTAAGGGTGTAAATTGATAAAATTGATACCCTAGAGTCCATATTGAGAACCAGCCCAAACCAGCAGGGTGTCTTTTGTCGTTAGCCCTTATTTTTATTATGTACTAAAGGTTTCTCAAGTATTTTGAAACTGGCTGAAACGCATGAAGCTATTTGTGGTGTGTCAGTAGCACAGAACGCACCTTCCATAACACATATACTCTTTATAGAAGATAGCCTATTGTTTGCTCATGCAAATCCAACTCAATTTGGCTTTAAAAATGTTGATACCGTTACTAACCGAGCAACTAGCTAAGCTAGATCAGCCACGTGCCATGCTTTGAGAGGTCATCACCTTAGCCAAAGAAGTCTTACCACAAGTCATTGCTCTAA